CCAACTTACAATGACTCTACTTACAATTTTTTGACTTTAAAATGGTGCAAAAGCAATATGCATTCAGCAGAAATCATACTTCAAGTATCCATACAACCATTATGTTTTTCACTTTCAGTATTCAATAAATAAAATCATCTAACACAAAGCCCATTTTATAACAAAGTGTTGAAATATTCAACATTTTATTATACAATAGGGTTTGTGATAGATGATTTTGCCCAACTATAGGCTAATATCAGTATTCTGAGCGCATTTAAGGTAGGTTAGCTTAAGCTGTGATGTTTGGTAGATTAGGTGGTGTGTTAGTCCGTCCTCATGCTGCTAATAAAGACATACCTGAGACCCGATAATTTGTAAAGAAAAGAGGTTTAATTGACTCATAGTTCCACATGGCTGGGGAGGTTTCAGGAAACTTACAATCATGGTGAAAGGGGAAGCAAACGCATCCTTCTTCACATGGCAGCAGAAAGAGAAGTGCTGAGCAAAAGGGGAAAAGCCCCTTATAAAACCATCAGATCTCGTGAGAACTCTCATTATCACGAGAACGGCATGACTCAATAACCTCTCACCAGGTCCCTCCCATGACACTTGGGGATTATGGGAATTACAATTCAAGATATTTGAGTGGGGACACAGCCAAACCCTATCAGGTGGGTTAAATGCATTTTCAACTTATGCTATTCTCCAATTATGATGGGTTCATCAGGATGTAATGTCATCGTCCTACGTCGAGGAGCATCTGTGTTCCAAATCAGCTAGTGGGACCATCCTAGGCTCTGTCATCCGAGGTAACATAGACTTCACCCCCAAAGCCATTAGAAAGTATTTATTGAGTCAAGGCACAGTGTTCAATATTAAAAATTAAAAGAAAAAGGAGACATAATCTGACCTTAAAAGGATTCATAATCTAATGAGGGAGAAGGTAAATATAAATTAATCTAAATCTCTGATTTCTCATCATTGAGGAAAGGTGTAATTTTGGATGACTGAGTTTTCCAGATGCTGAAGGTTTCTCCCCCAAATATACAAGCTTTATTCCATTTTAACCACTTTTGATTGGGAATACTTTCTAAATACACAGTTGCTTTCCTTTAAAATAAAGGATTTGGTCAATGACTTCTTCTAGTGATGCAGGATGGTTGTTCTGAGCATGTTTCCACTACTACCTTATGATACAATGATGCCTTCAAGGTCTATTGGAATGACCTTATGCTAAATGCCTCCAGACTCTAAAGTTTTGCGTGGCGTTTTTTTGGTTTTGTTTGTTTTGTTTTGGTTTGTTTTAGACGAAAAGTCTCACTCTGTCACCAAGGACTGGAGTTGGCAGTGGCGTGAAGATCTCGGTATCCACTGCAAACTCGCCTCCTTGGGGTTCAACGAAATTCTCCTGCCCTCAACCTCTCCCGAGTAGCATTGGGACTACAGTTGCACGCACCATGCCCTAGCTAATTTCCCTGTAATTCTTTAGGCAGAAGAACAGGGTTCAATCATGTAGGCCAGGAATGGACTTGATCTCTTGGATCCTTGTGATTCCGCTCTGCCTCAGCCTTTCAAAAGTGCTTTGGGATTACAGGCG